TACTTAAAGACCAGGGACAGCTATCAGTATCTTTTTTTGTCTTTATTTTAATTGCATTTTTTATTTTTCATTTCCGTCTTAACAGTCCTAATGGTTACAACATGTATCTGCCCAGGAACAAGTCACAATTACTGGGAAATTTACTTCTGCGGAAGGGCCTATGCCTCAGCAAAACCACACATAGGAAACAGCATTCCAGTTTACTCCTGTTGATGCCATTTGTATAGTCAAGAGTGAGTAACCATCAGAGGATAGAATACAGTCTCAACTAGTCTGAATATACTGTGAGCATAATGTCATCACCGGAAATATCCGAACAGGAACATCGCTGTAAAATTTATTTGCAGTGATCGTCCATTTCAAAAAAAAGTCATAACTTGGGGTGCCTGGGTGGCTCAGTCGGTTAAGCGTCTGACTTCGGCTCAGGTCACCATCTCACAGTTCATGAGTTTGAGCCCTGCATTGGACTCCATGCTGACAGCTCAGAGGCAGGAGCCTGTTTCAGATTCTGTGCCTCCCTCTCCCTCTGCCCCTCCCCTGTTCACACTGTCTCCCTCCCTCTCTCTCTCAAGAATGGATAAACATTGGGGCGCCTGGGTGGCTCAGTTGGTTAAGTGCCCAACTTCAGCTCAGGTCATGATCTCACAGTTCTTGAGTTCGAGCCCTGCGTCAGGCTCTGTGCTTGCAATTCAGAGCCTGGAGCCTGCTTCAAATTCTCTCTCTCTGCCACTCTCCCACTCACTTTCTCTCTCCTCCTCTCTCTCAAAAATAAATAAACATCAAAAATTTTTTTAAAAAAAAGAATGGATAAACATTAAAGCCCACACACCTTTTCTGATCACTGAAGAAGAGTTTGATGCCGTACACAAGGGAGCTGACACTCCGGCTCAGGCTACAGACGACAAAAGGTTATGCCGCCACAGGCAAGGGAGGGGTGGTGTGAGTTGTGACTGACCACCGGTGTCACACTGAGCGGTTCTGCAGGGAAAGTTGGAGCCAAGGTGGATCTCAGTTACCTGGTGGGTAACAGCGGCCTAAAACCATAGGTCAGCAAACCTCTGTATAGAGCTAGAGTAAATACTTCAGGCTTGCCGGTCAGCCAGCCTCCCTCACAGCTCAGCGGTACCACTGCAGTACAAATGCAGACGTAGACAATATGTATCCGAATGGGTGGCTGTGGTACAATAAACCTTTATGGCTTTAGAGCCTGAGTACCTACAGATCTGTACGGCAGCAGGAAAAACCAACAGAATAACATGGACATTGTCAAAATGCTGAGCTTTGATCAGCTTTTGAATCACTGTGGGGTTTCATGGGATTTCAGCCTTCCGTCTTCTGGCTTTGGGTTGAACAGAGCTTGGACTTTTAGGATTTGCTGGGCCCAGATCGAGCCCCAGACATCCCTGTCTGCGAGCTCCTACTGTCCTTCCGTGTGGTGATTCAGAAGGTATACTTGCATCTTTAGTGTCCTAGGTTGTCACCGGCGGCACTGATTGCCATGGTGTTGTGGACCGCACAGGCTTGCTTTATTAGAAGATTCTGGTTGGCAGCCTGTTGGGAGCTGCCACTTTTACTCATACTCGGGATGGTTATTCTCTGTGTGTCGTGACTTCTCTTTCCTCAGCTCCTAGCATAATGTCCCCAGCATGTGATAGTCACTCTTGAGTATTTGTTGAATCGATGTTTCTTTGGACAAGTACGCAGTACGTGTCTAACTGCCTCTTGGCTGTGAATTCCCTGCCATGCTGGGCAAGGAGGCTCTGGCCTTATTCTTTCATTATCAGTGTATGCAACTTTTGGCCCCAGAATGTCTGTCATTTTGAGTAGTAGTTACTGCTCTGCCTTCTCAGCTTTCTGGACACGTCCTGACTCATCACGATGGTAGCATGTTTAGTCCAGATGCTCTTTCTCTGTGGGGAATGAGGGCGGTGGAGGAAGAAGGCGAAGGGCAAGGAGAACCCGATACAACCATTGAAAGTGTACATGTGCCCTTTACAGCCACGGTCTTAAAACACACATAGCCTGTGCTGCTCTTGAATGATTTCCTCTGCTACGAAGCGAGTAGGTTCTCAGAAAACCAAGATGTCATTTGCTGGGCTGTAGACTGGGCCACGGTGGCCTCTCTGCGGCGCCTCCATCGGGGTCAGCCCCCCATCGGCACGGTTTCTGACTGAGAAACCCATCTGGTGATGCAACTGGCTGCCGCGTGCAAGATAAAGCATCAGAGGAGGGAAATCTGTACTTGTTCTGTTTCACGGCGCGTGCCGCGGACAGATAGACTTCATTATCGAGCCTTAGCTATTTCATTGCTGTCTCCAGAGACGCGAGCTGCAGCTGTTAGGGAAAAGGGGCATGTTACTCCGCACTTGTTGAAGGAGTGGACGTCTTTCCTAGAGAGGGTACACACTCGGTCGTGGTGTGTGCGGGCTGGTACAGGCTACGGGATTCATCACGGGCACCTCTGACCCTGTCGGCCCCCGCACCAGCCCCGTGATGAGGAGGCTGGGGCTGGAGGGCAGGTGTCTCCGCAGGTGAGGAGACAAAGGCTCATGAAGCCCCACAGCCACGTGGTGCAGAAACATCTTCGGACTCCTTGTCCAACGTTCTCCGCTTGACCCCATCCCCCAAGAGGAGGGCAGAGCTCAGGGAGTCTCTTATTCCCAGAAAATCAGCCGTTTTGGTTCTAGGATCACTAAAAAAGCCTGGTTTGTTTCAAGGAACTTCCCTATCTGCGTCACTGTTTTGCCTTTACCATTAGCTAATGCAGTAGTAAGTCAGAGTGTCTTTTTTTTTTTTTAATTTTTTAATGTCTATTTTTGAGAGAGAGAAAGGAGACAGAGAACAAGTGGGGGAGGAGCAGAGAGAGAGGGACACACAGAACCCGAAATAGGCTCCAGGCTCTGAGCTGTCAGTGCAAAGCCCATCACGGGGCTGGAACCCATGAACCGTGAGATCATGACTTGAGGCAAAGTCGGATGCTTAACCGACTGAGCCACCCAGGCATCCCGTAAGTTAGAATGTCTTAATGGGTGCAGCTTAACCCGGGCCCTAGGTAACCGGGTACTCTCGTTCTGCTCATCCTTGTTATTGTCCTTGGTGTAAAGGCAGCCGTGCTAACACTGAAGGGATTTCCCGTTAATACCTGGCGCTCTGGGCCCCGTCTCATCTTTTAAGTCACGACTGGAATATAATCTGTTGAGACACTGCCTTCCTGGTAGATCCCTAATAAACGAAGAGACCCGAGCTCTAGTCCCACTTCTGAGCTGGCGTCCTGTGTGTATAGCTGTTGCTCTGGCTGACCTTGGGTGAGGCATTTGCCCTTTGAGGGCTTCCTTTTCGTTATCTGTCACACGAAGGCTTTGGGCAAGGTGGCCCTATTTTGCAAGGGCTGAGTTAACTCTCAGAAATAGGGAAGAGAACTGAGAACTCACTTTTTTTTTTTTAAAGTAAACTTTCTGTACCCAACGTGAGGCCCAAACTCACAATCCCGAGGTCAGGAGGCACATGATCTACCAGCCAGGCGCCCCAAGAACTCACATTTTATTTATTTATTTTTTAAAGGTTTATCTCAGTTTATTTTTTTATTTTTATTTTTTTTTT